CGCCCTGATTAGCCAATGGGAAGCGTGTCGGAGGTACAGTTAATTACCATGTTTGTCTATTATTAGATAGGACTAGAGGCCCAGTGCACAAATTCATGCATGGGCGGGGTCCCTCAGCCTGGTGGGCAATCTGGCTGGCCAGGGGGAGGGACTGTGGGAGGTTGGCTGTTGGAGCACACTGACCACCAGGGGGAAGCTCCTGCATTAAGTATCTGCCCCCTGGTGGTCAGTGCACATCATAGCTACCGCAGGTCGTCCTGTCCTAACAGTCACTTAGGCCAGTGGTTCTCAACCTTTCTAATGCTACAACCCTTTAATACAGTTCCTCATATTGTGGTGACCCCCAACCATAAAATTATTTTCGTTGCTACTTCATAACTGTAAATTTGCTACTGTTATGAATCATAATGTAAATATCTGACATGCAGGATGTATTTTCATTGTTCACGACCCACAGGTTGAGAACCGCTGGCTTAGGCTTTTATATATATAGATAAATGTTTATTAGTTAAATAATTATTATTGGGGCCTACCTAATTGAACTATTACAGCTGTTATCAGTCTCATTTAGCTCTCTGGGACCCATGTAACCTCCTAGCCTTTCTCTTTCTCAATTGCTTTATCTCCAAATTAATCTCTTTGCCTAATCTCAAGTAATTGCTCTTCCTATAAAATGTCATTTTTAAATATTCCTATGGTTAACCACATTGTCTTCTTACTTCTGATTTACTTTAATATTTCTAATTTAAAATGTTTCTTTTCATTCATTGATGAGACTTCTTTTTAAATTTTCCCTCTTCCTTACCCAACTTCTTATCCAGGTTAAAGTCACTGTCTTGCAAACACCCTCAACTCTGATACTCCCCCTCACCCCCGCAAACTCCAAGCACTTGGTGAAACACCAAGTCTGAACTTTTCTGTATAGACCTGAATGTTCCTGGAAAAAAATTACACAATTAGACTGATGAGTTTGACATAAAATTAATAACTATGCTCAATAGTAGCCAACACTGCTACATTTTCCAAGTTTGTATATTTTCCTCTTTATTCTCTGAAAGGATTTTTTTTAAAAAATGTATTTTCACACTCTCTACAATTCCTTTCCTCGTTTCCTTCGAGCCATCAGAGGAAAATTCTCTCATTTTTCCATCACATCTATAAAGCTATCACTATATGTATATACCTATAATTTCTGTCTACAATTCTGTTGGAATAGAAACCATCAGCATGACTTATGAAAAGCCAGTTGTACCACTTGGGCTCTGCATCCTACCTGTTTCAGTCTTCTCAAGATTAAAGCAGAGAGTCTAAAGATCACCCTCTCTTCATCTTTGATTTCTCCCTTTATACTGGATTATTCTCATAAATATATAAATAGGCTTTAAAAAAGAAATTCTGAGAAGGATGGAGAGAGAAAGAGGACAGGGCAGGACAGCATCAGGGTCTAGAACATTGTACCAGTTCAATTAATATGGGTGACTGGATGAATTTAATAGGCATACCTATTGTTTAGTGTGTATACTTGTGTTTGTGCGTATAAAGTATGCATAATATATGTACCCGTGTATGTAAAGGTAGTTATCCTGTTTTCTATTCAAAGTAAATAGTAACTAGTATTAGTAAAAGCAACTCTTTAAGATTCGTGTGAAAACATTCTTTAACTTATAAACATACTTTGACAGAGAAACTTCCTTTTGAGTTTCTAACATTACTAATAGTTGAATTCTATGAAGGATGTTTCAGTTCTAAATTTATTCTGGGCAATATCAGAGTTTTCTGTTTTTGTTTGTTGATACAGTCACTGTTGGTGTCATTACTAGGTTATGGAAATGTTGAAATCAAACATTCTCCTTTATATAAAGGATGAATTAAAAACAACATTTGCCTCTTTTAGTCTGATTCCAGTCTTTCCAGACTTCCCACCTCTTCTCCCCTCTTACTACCACCATCATTTAACAAAGCATCAGCCACCCTATTCCTAAATTGAAAAGCAAGTCTTTTTAACTCTCTCTGCTTTTTACACATGTTCTTTTCATTGAAGGGAATGCAGTCCACTTCCTGACAAACAATACTCTTTAAAAATAAAAATAAAATTTACCTCTTCAGATTTCTGTAATTGTCTAGGGGATTCATCTTGTCCTTCTTTCATTTTCTATAGAAACTTTATTCTTATTCTTTATAACAGCACTTGTTGTGTCATAGTTCTCTTTGTATGAAATATATATTTTTTAAAAAACAGATTTGCCATTGATTTATTTTTAAAATTCACTTTAATATACACAACAGTGCGCCTGCTCTCCCCCTTTTTTCAAAACACCAGTATAATGTGTAACTGCCATTTTACAAAATAATGCTACTGGCAAACACAAATTCAAATCTAGATAAAGTCTATGGCATCAAAGTAACTCTGAGTTCCTCTGTAATTTTCTGCTACATAGAACATACATTAAAAAGTATTTTTTTTCTGTTTTATTGCATTGTCTTTGCATAATCCCAACTGTACAAGTGGAAGTTTATTTTAATGAATATCAATATGAAATCTAGTTACAAAGATGTTGCCAGTCTCCATTTAAAAAGGGAATCGAAACCCTAAGATTTAGAGCTTGTCGTTTTGAGAATGAATCTCAGGACCTAAACTATGAATGTAATGCAAAAATACTTGCAGTTCTGTTCTTTACTTTGTAAACTATCATATTGCCAACTTACTAGATAATTTTTAAACAATGCCTACCATTTAGTGTGAGGCTACGGCCTGCGTGGCCTGGGTTCAAAGGCCTGGAGAAAGAGCTGATGTGCAAATTAATATACAAGATGTTAACGTAAAAAACCATTGATACCTGTAAAGAATTTTTGTGAGTTTATTTGAGCCAAACTGTCAACATATTCTGGGAAGCAGAACCTCAACTTT